GAAAAATAAGTCTTGCTTTAAATAAGTTGTAGGACTTTTGAGTAGAAGTTAATTATTTCTCTAACTAGTAGGAAACTATTTGCTTTGCATATGCTGCACCATTGTGATTCATTAATTTCCAGCAAAAAATAATTTGTAATGATGACCCATATCTCAGTGGTTTCTGAATATTTGTTAATAGCTAAACCTTAGGTAAAGAAATGTTAGCTTTTTGAAAAGAGATGCAGGAATTATACAACTTTTGACAGATCATATTTAAAAATAAATATCTCAGCTGGAAATAAGCTCACCTTGGTGTACATGCCTTGATTCAAGGCTTGAGTATATAAATTCTAGGCCATTAAATGCCAGTAATTAATTACTGAATGTGCACTGTACTGGTGGCAGCGCCAGTTTTCGAATGATGGTAAAATCTATGGCATATTCTGACGGTTCAGGTAAATTTTTAAAATTCCATGGTAGTATTTGAAAAACAAGATCTGTGTTGTGGCCAAAATTCCTCTCTCAAAAAACATCATCCAAAACGAATGAATGGTCACTAATTTCACTCCTGTTTGTGAGAATCTGTTATTACATAAGCAATATGGCAGCTATTTTAATAACAGTTGCTGCATTCAAATTAATTCATTGTATATAGCATGCTTTGAAGCATTAATCAGAAATCTGAGGTGGCGCCATTTAAATACAGTCTGTCTGTTTGCCGCGTTTTCATACAGGTTCTTTGTAGATATATGGTTGCAATATGGAAAAGATAATTTTAATGTAAAAGTTTAAGGACATATTTTCTGTGGGATTATGGAGTAAAAGTTGACACTCTGATTTTTACACAGGCACACAACGATTTGCTGCGAACATATGAAGCAAAACTGACCGCATTTGGAATTCCAGTAGATGAGCTTGGATTCAAACCACTAGAGACTGCCTTTTGTGGACAGAAGATTGGTCAGGGCCCAGCTGGGCTGGTTGCTGCTTCAACATAGGTCTGGTGTATAATTTAGATATCCTAATAATATGTCCAACACTTGGTTACCAATAACTAAGATTGGTAACATTCCTAATTATGATGTAATACAAATTGCTCTGAGAAAACCTGTCAGGGGATGTCTTTTTAACACTAGAAATTAATGAAGTGAAGTTTGTAAATACTTCATGGCTTTGAAACTTGCAATTTTTTTTAAAGTAAGAATGAATATTTAAAGTATACTTATAGGATCTGATTGGATTCCTGTACACCAGAATAAATATTCCATTAATTTGAACAACACAGAATACACCTTTTTTTGCTGGTAACGTCAGGATTTTGCTAATGACTTAACACCAGTCACTAAATTGTGTAGAGAAATCTGACAATTTCTGGCTATCTTACCTAGCTCAGCTTCATTCAATGCAGCTAACATGTTAAAACTTTGGAATATTCTATGTCACTAATCATGTTTTTCATGCATAGCTATAACATTCTACTTTAAGTTACAGATTTCTTGAAAACTAAACTCTAGTTACTTTTTGAAATCTCAAGCATGAGTTCCAAACTAAAATCCTCTCACTTCAAGCAACCACCTACCTATATTTTGTTAACAATCCTGTACCATTCATTTTTCCATAGGCTGTTCCGTCACTATGGCAACTGTCACAATGAATTGCAGACTCTGGTAATCTGGTGACTTTCTGGAGCAAGCACCTAAATTGTCCTCACGATCCCATTGTCAAGTTTTTGAAAATAATCATGTTCTACAATTAATCATGCACAGTGCTGTAGGCAATTTACCAATAATAATAAAATTCTTGAACTTCTTCTTATTTCCAATTGTCATGATTTTACTGTATACAATTGAGAAACTTGGTAATGCCCATTTCAATTACATTTAAAGTTTATCTCTCATGCTTGATGCCTCCACACATCAAGGCTGTTGTGGAAAGCTACTTGTTCACCTCAGCATTTTTACATTTGCTAGTTCCAAAGTCAAATGAGTTTAAAAGAAAATATATTACAATAATAAAAAGAATCCCTTTGAATAGTGACCATTTCTGTTTCCTGTCTCCACCACCAATCCTCAAGATCAGCTACCATTCTTAGTTATAATTTTTATTTACAACTTCTAGACTCTGTGAGAAACTTCACTGACAACCAATATACTGTCAAACTTTGTCTCCTATATCAAATTTTGTCTTCATATGTGCAGCATTAAATTTTTAGATCCACATTGGACAAACCTAGTAGTTGTCAAACCACTGTTTTTGTTTAAATTCCTGCCATCCTCAGGGAGGCTTCTTTGCCACTCATCAAGTTTACAAACCCTGCTCATTGCCCCAGTTTGATTCAATGTTAAGGCCCTGCCCGGTGTAAACCTGACATTTAAAAATCCTTCAAAAAGTGTAATCTCCAAGATGAGAAATGTCATTTAAAATTATATGATATTTGAAGGTATTGTTTTTGATCAGATTGACCAAAGTTTCATCTGTATAAGTTTATACATGGTATTAACTGTGTCACTGGTGCAGATATTTACTGTGCCTCACTATTAACTCAGAATTAAATTTAAAATTATGTTTAACAGTCCATATTTGCAGTTGCAAATACTTTTGTAAATTCAGAGTTTTTGCTTAAAGCTTTTTCATAAACCTTTCTGTCGGCTGCATTGATGATTTGTCTTAAAGAGAATATCAACTATGTTCAACAAGTTTAGAAGGTTTGCAAGGTTCCTTATTTATTTGCCCCACTCTGTTCACCCCTCACCTCATCACATTGTATGATAACTCAACTCATCCGCTGTACCCGTTGTGGCCTCCTCTACATTGGGGAAACCAAGCAGAGGCTTGGGGACCGCTTTGCAGAACACCTACGCTCGGTTCGCAGTAAACAACTGCACCTCCCAGTCGCGAACCATTTCAACTCCCCCTCCCATTCCTCAGACGACATGTCCATCCTGGGCCTCCTGCAGTGCCACAACGATGCCACCCGATAGTTGCAGGAACAGCAACTCATATTCCGCTTGGGAACCCTGCAGCCCAATGGTATCAATGTGGATTTCACAAGCTTCAAAATCTCCCCTCCCACTACCGCATCCCAAAACCAGCCCAGCTCGTCCCCGCCTCCCTAACCTGTTCTTCCTCCCACCTATCTCCTCCTCCCACCTCAAGCTGCACCCCCATCTCCTACCTACTAATCTCATCCCGCCCCCTTGACCTGTCCGTCCTCCCTGGACTGACCTATCTCCTCCCTACCTCCCCACCTACACTCACCTTTACTGGCTCCATCCCCGCCTCTTTGACCAGTCTGTTTCCTCTGCACCTATCTTCTCCTCTATCCATCTTCTATCCGCCTCCCCCTCTCTCCCTATTTATTTCAGAACCCCCTTCCCCTCCCCCATTTCTGATGAAGGGTCTAGGCCCGAAACGTCAGCCTTCCCGCTCCTATGATGCTGCTTGGCCTGCTGTGTTCATCCAGCTCTACACCTCGTTATCTCAGATTCTCCAGCATCTGCAGTTCCTACTATCTCCTCCAGCACATCACCCGAGTTATTAATCTTTGTGCAGGTCTAATTAGTTGCTTTATCCCTTGATTTCAGCTACAGAGCTCATAAGTCAATTAGACCTTCTTCACAATCCATCAGTTGAATGTTCTGCCCAGAAGTCTAAGCTTTTGTTCATTTAATAATTTGTGTTCACTTACAAACACACTTACATTAAAATGCAATTATCAGATAATACAGGAAAAATGTAAGAGTATTTTCAATGTTTTTTCATTATTCAAGAATCTACTTATAAAAGCTGCAGTTTCAATTACATTTTGGCAAAGAATCTAAGCAGACTGAGGTTAGCATCAAAAAGGGATGGGCAGTCAGACATGATTGATTGAACTCTGATTTCACAAACTGGAAAAGGAACAGATTGTCTTTATAGTTGAAGATTGAAAAAAGTGGTATTGTACAAATGTTTCATGTTTAATAAATAATGTTTGCAATGAATTAGCTAATGTAAAAAAATGCAATGAATTCAGCAATGGGTGGTGCTATAAGCAGCTGGAATCTACATAAAAGTTATGTCTGTCAATTATAGAAGCAAATCAAAACAAACCCTAGAAATTATTTTAACATTAGAAATTCATGAGATTGGGTGGAGTGTTTGCATTATATCCTGTCAAATATTATTCTCCATTGTCTTCAAATCAACATTGCAGGCAGGGTCAGGTAGAAATTGCCTCACTATCTAGATCGGTGGAGTTTACTCATGCTACGTTAATCTAAATAAACGCAGGAATAAACTGTTCAGCCTGAAACCTCTTTTGTCATTCAATAAAATCATGGCTGACCTGCACTCCTTTTTATTCTGCTTTTATTCTCTATTTGTTAATATCCATTTACCTCACTCTTGAAATCTTCATTTGTTCTAAGATGCACAGCCTTTGTGGGTAAGACAGTTGTATTAGCTTGTGCATAAAAAATGAGCTTTTCTCAATTTTGAAATTTTTCCCTTATTTTCATTCATTCATTCTTAAAAAAATAGCTTATTCCCATCTGCCTTATTGAACATTTTTAAACAATTGAAATGCATTGTTCGCCCTTCGTTAATTCATAAAGGAATACAAGTTAAGTTTATACAATCTGTCCTCAAAATTTAAGCTCAGTATCACTAATGGTGATTCTGCACTATACCCACTCTGCAGTCAGCATATACTTTCCAAAATATGGTACCCAAAACTGAATGCAGTCTTACTGATGGGATTTAGGTAAGGTTCCATAGAACTGAAGCAGAACTTATTCCTTTTACTTATTCTACCCACTTGAGGAAAAAGCCAACATTCAGTTAATCTTGGAGCAAATTACCATAGATGCTGGGATCTATACTGAAAACAAAAAATGCTGGAAATCAGAGGTCAGGCAGCATTTAGGGAGAGAAAGCAAGCTAATGTTTTAAGTCTAGGTGACTCTTCATCAGAGTTGAATCTGTCAATAATTTCTATCTAAAGTTATTATAAACATTAACAAAATAAAACACACTCCTCATTTTCTGAACTTTATTCAAATCTCAATACTGGCATGGTGATGCTTCCATATGGAGTATCTGAAACTTAATATGTAGTTCATGTTAGCGCTTAGGATCCTCTATAGGTACTGTACGAGAAGGGACTCAGGAGAAGAGCAATGTGGTACTTCTGACATGCATCAGAGATGTTGAAGACAACCTGAAAGAACATAATGAGGGAGGTTCAGCTGTAGGCTCCAGTCAGACGGATTCCTTGCATGTGGGTAATTTTGACCTGGCATGATAATATAAAATGGAGATATGAACAATCAGGAGAGTTGTAAATGGGCTGTTGATTCACTACCAATGATTTTATGTTATCAGACAATGTCAAAATTACCCCTATAAAATTGTTTAAAGCTATACTTCAAAAACTCCTACCCCGTTGTAAAGGAAATTAAATAATTTAATAAGAAAGACCAATCCTAAGACCATCCTGAAGCTATGAGAACATTTGCCTTGAGTAGATGGATGTAGTGCACTTGTATCCTCATTATGCCATACTCATGGTGATTCTATCAATCATACAATAGAATCTTATCAAGTTAATTTCATTTATGAACCTTATTTCTAGAAACATTTTTCAATTGTCTTCTAATGTTATTGTTAAATATTAGAAGTAAACACTTTTTATTCCTGTATTGCATGAGTTCTGTTGATATACTTGGAACATTTCAGCTTGGTTGCAGCATTTTCTGTAGTTGTTACCTCTATGTATGGATAGAAACTGGCCATCTTTAATGATTGCCAATACTCATCTACTGCAAACTTCATCTTGTATATCCCAGGAACAAAGGTTTCTGATGTAAGCAGACCTGGGCACCTGCCATCGGAGTTTGTAATCCTGCAGACACAGAAGTGCATAGTGAAATCACATTTGCTGTGTCTGAATTACCTATTTCACTGAAGCAAGCATCACTTAATGGTATTACATAATGTACATTATTGTGACTTTTTTAAATGACTAAAATGTGGAGAAAACAGTGCACAACAAGCTACAGTTTACTTCCTCATTTTTGCCTGGACAAAAGTTGCAGTAATACGAATATGATCTTTTATGTTTCCTTTATAAAGCAAACATTTTTTACAAAACTACCACCAAGTAGGAAGTAATATTTGTGCCACTAAAATGCCAGGCAATGGCCATCTCCAATAAGAGATGAATACAACTTTTTTGCTGGTAATGCCCCTTGACATTAAATGGTCTTATTGTCACTGAATACCCAATAATCAATATCCTGGGTGGTGGTGGTAGGGTGGGGGTGTAGGGGTTTGGGTAGTGGTGAGAGTTATCACTGACTAGGAAATTGACTGGACTCAACACATAACACAACGGCTGCAAGAACAGGTCAGAGGCTAGGAACAGTAACTTACCTCTGAACTCCGCACAGCCTGTCCACCATCTACGATGCACAAGTCAGGCGTTTGTTGGAATACTCCCCACTTGCCTGAAGTGTGCAGCTCCAACAACACTGAAGAAGTTTGACCAAGGACAAGCCAGGACAAAGCAGCACACACGATTGGCACCAAATCCACAAGCATCTGCTCCCTCCACCACCAAAGTTCAGTAGTAGCAGTGTGTACAATCTACCACATACACGCATAAATTTATGAAAGATCCTTAGCATCTTCCAGAGCCATGACCACTTCAATCCAGAAGGACAAGGGCAGCTGATACAGGGGAACATCATTTGCAAGTTCCCCTCCAAGCCACTCACAATCCTGATTTGGAATTATATCATTGTTCCTTCCATGTTGCTGGGTCAAAATCCTGGAAATCCCTCCCTAACGGCATTGTGGGTCAACCTACAGCACGAGGACTGCAGCGATTCAAGAAGGCAGTTCACCACTACCTTCTCAAGGTCAGCTAGGGATGGGCAATAAATGCTAGCCAGCATCCCACGAGCGAATAAAAACTAACTTCTGCTTTAACAAAGGAAAAGATGTTGTACAAAGGTGCAAATTAGAAAAAAGCATACCAACCCAAAAGAAGAATTAGATCAGATGACTAAAGGTTAGAACAGAGTTGGGTGATAAAGAAAATCTTAAAAGCTGCATTGTACTACTCTGTGAATCAGGGTTAGTTTACTCAGTTGTCTGGACGGCTGTTTTGTGATGTACTGTGATGCCAACAGCACAGATTCAATTGCCATACCAATTGAGGTTACCATGAAGATCCAACCTTCTCAACTTTGCCTTTTGTTTGAAGTGTGTTGATCCTCAGATTAACCCACCACCAATCGCCTCTGTCTAATGAGAGAGCAATCTTTTAGGGACTATGATGACTTCACCTTTGCTCTGTGATTCTGCAATTTGAGGGCAGCAATTGCAGAATATGGAGCCACCAATAATTGGTTAATGGAGAGCGTGGAGGAGGACTTTGTGATGAATGGTTGTTGAGCTAGAGGAGGTTATACAGACAAGGAGGCACCAGGCAATTAAGGGATATAAGTGTAATGAGAATGTTAACAGTTAAGCCATTGAGGACCCAAAAACAAAATAGTTCAATGAGAATGGGGTGAAAGACTTTAGTGCAGGATAAGTTACAGGTAGTCAAGTTTAAATGAGTTGAGATTTATGGAGGTCAGAGACTGTCCTTGAATTTGGAATTAATTAGTTTGGAAGCAACAAAGGCATAATTGAAAAGCAGAAGATTAGCTATCAGGGCTAGAAGGAAACAATGCTAGAAGTGGAAGTAATCAGTCTTTGCGACACAAGTGTTTGGGAGCTCTGTCAAATATGATGTTGAAATTGCAAGCTAGATCAAGACTGTGGCTCAAGAGGTACATAGCTTTGGTGGAATTGGAAGAACTCACAATGGGTGCTGCAGACAAGGGTTTTAGATATTTTCTAATCAACCGGTTTAGAGATAATATTACACACTTTTGACGCAGGAGGAATTTGAGCCCAGGCCTCCTGGCTCAGAGGTAGAGACACTACCCAGTGCCACAAGAGCCCCAGCGGGATAGTTTTAGACTTCCAATGTTTAGTTAGAGTAAATTGAAGCAGATTCTGAAACTATCTGATAGACATGGAGTTTGCCAAGGCTGTGCAAAGATAGAATTGGGTGTCATGAGTGGACATGTCAAAGTCAGGTATGAAATCATTGCCACAGATAAGTAAGATGCAGAGAGCTAAAGACAGTTTCTTGGGGAACTCTGAGAGCATTGAGCAAGTGTGACAATGAAATTATTTCCTGGAATTACTTGGCTACTATTAAATAATTGAGTGTGGAGGCCAGCATGGACAGTTACACAGAGTTCAACAATGGAGGAGAGGTATTGGAGGTGGACAGTTTGGTTCATTGTGCCAAAAGCTGTATAGAGTCAAATACTCAGTTTTAAGTGTTCACGGACACAGACTTTGTCTGTGTTCAAAAATTGTTTGCTGCAATTCACAATGTGTAAAATTTAAAGGGCTTCCCAAATTAGCAGTGATGGAAGGAAATTGTTTTCAATTATCTGAATTTGTTTGGTGCTTTTCTTTAAGGAAAACATAGTAGACCACTGTCGCTACTATTACTGCCTCTTTCTCAATGAGCTGTTCAAAGTACTGTCTCCTTTTCCTTTGTATTTGGTGGGCTACTTCGGCTCAGTGCTTCTGATTATGGATCCAGTACAAACAGTAATATCCCCAGAGTAACCCTGCTAGATATGATAAGGCTGGCCGAGAAATTTCAGTCTTAAGCGAGTCTAGCATGTTCAGACCTATAAATTAGGAGGATGCAGTCTTAGCATCCCAATAAACACAATATATAAAGAAGTTTTCATGTGCCATTCTGGGAGGCTGGCTTCCCTGAAGTTCAGTCTCGAGTTCCAATTAGTTGATCTCTTGATGGCTGTATAATTTTACTTTAAGAATTTGATTTAGTTATTTAAATACAATGTACAGACATCTGAATAAAATCAAAACAGCTCTGTCATAAATCTTTCTACTTTATCCTTACGCTGGTGTGAATGCAATATTTTCATGAAGCTGTGAAGATTTGCTAAGAATGTGAAGTCCTCAGCTCACACAACCATCTCATAGAAACATAGAAGATGGGAGCAGGAGGAGGCCATTCGGCCCTTTGAGCCTGCTCCTCCACTCATCATGATCATAGCCTAATCCTGCTTTCTCCCCATAACCTTTGATCCTATTCGCCTCAAGTGCTATATCAAGCCACCTCTTGAATACATTCAATGTTTTGGCATCAACTACTTCCTGTGGTAATGAATTCCACAGGCTCACCACTCTTTGGGTGAAGAGATGTCTCCTCATCTCCATCCTAAATCATCTACCCCGAATCCTCATACTGTGACCCTTGACTCTGGACACACCCACCATCGGGAACATCCTCCTTGCATTGATCCTGAATAGCCCTGTTAGAGTTTTCAAAGTCTCTATGAGATCCCTGTCACTCATCTGCAGTCTAGCGAAAAAAATCCTAACCTAGTCAATCTCTCTTCATACGTCAGACCCACTATCCCCAGAATCAGCCTAGTAAACCTTCGCTGCACTCCCTCGACAGCAAGAGCATCCTTCCTCAGAAAAGGAGACCAAAACTGCACACAATATTCTAGGTGTGGCCTCACTAAGTCCCTGTATAACCGCAACAACACATCCCTGCTCCTGTACTCGAAATCTCTCGCAATGAAGGCCAACATACCATTTGCTTTCTTTACCGCCTGCTGCACCTGCATGCTTACCTTCAGCAACTGGTGCACAAGGATGCCCAGGTCCTGCTGCACACTCCCCTCTCCAAATTTACAGCCATTTACAGCAATTTAGCATCCCAATAAACATAATATATAAAAAAGTATTTATGTGGCATTCTGGGAGGCTGGCTTCCCTGAAGTCAAGTCTTCATGTTTTTGCTTCCAAAGTGAATAACCTCACATTTATCCAAATTGTACTGCATCTGCCATTGATTTGCCCACTCACCCAACCTGTTGAGATCATGCTGAAGGATGTCTGCATCCTCGTCACAGTTCACCCTCCCACCCAACTTGGTATCATCTGCAAACTTGGAGATGTTACATTTTGTTGCCACATCCAAATCATTACTATATATTGTGAATAGCTGGGGTCCCAGCACCGATCCCTGTGGCACACCACTAGTTACTGCCAGCCAATTTAAAAAGGATCCATTAATTCTTACTCTTTGTTTCCTCTCTGCCAACCAGTTTTTCTGTCCATTCTCCTCAGAGAACACATGCAAGCAACAAAGGAACATTTTCCCATTTAGAAAATGGAATTGTGACAGATAATCATAAATCTATTGCCATGCCGGTTCATCATTCCACCACATGAGGGCAAAACTGGGAGGATCAAATAGCCTAATAAAATCACTTCAATACCAATTGCTTTTACACTTGTCTTCCTAAAGACTAATGACCTTTTTAAACTGTTAATGGTTAGATTTGACTTACCCTGTTGCAATCTCTCTCCATGCCTTGTCTTCCAGTCTGACAACACTGACTGCGACATGTGCAGCAGGGATGCCTTGTGCTGTGTTCAGTATGTGGGTAGTTAGAGGACTCTGTGACATTTTGTGGTCTGGAGAGTTACTCTGTTACAGAGGAATTGTTCAAAAGTTAATGTCAGACATCTTTTAAAACAAATTATATATATTTAATTTATATTTAAATATACTTATATATAAACTTATATATTTAAATCTATTCGTACTTTGTTAATTCTAAATATCTGCCCTGGTTTGACATTTGGAAGTTTCTCTCCAGTTATAAATATGGATATATATTAGCTGCCAGCTAAGTTACTTTAACCCTCTGTAGTGATCCAGGTACAGATTGTGCAAGCGCTCCAGTCAGCCGCATGTGATAGATATGCCATTGTGTTCCTCTCTATTACAAGACACAGAATTATATGGTGCCCCTCTCTGATTTGTATAAATTGGGAGAAACTGCAAGTTTTGGAATCCGAGCTTTTCTTCTTCTCAGCCAACAATGCATTCTGCCACATGTTAAAAGAAGGTGAACATAGACATGTTGAAGAGAATATCTTTCTTGGGATTGTGTGTAGCTAGCAAGGCTGATATTTATTGCCCATCCCTAGTAATCTAGAAGGTGTGTAAATCTTGGACATCTGCAGCCCATTAGATGAAAATATGTGGCAGTTTCAATAAGTAGTGAGATCCAAGATTTTGATCAAGCAATGTGGGGGGATTGCTGTTATATGTTCAACTTAGGATGGTGTGTAACTTGCAGCAAGAATTCGAGTTTGTCATATCCTTATGTGCCTCCATTTGCTCCTGTAGTTGTTGGAGGGGGCAGCATATGGCCCATGCATGCTACCACCACATCACAGAATATAGTGGATTGCTGTTGTCTCTTACTGTCCTGTAGCTCATCAAGTTGCTTCATCTTTTGACAGAATCTGGTTTATTCTAGAATGGATAAGAACTTGTTATGTGCTCATAAAACATGACATTATATATAATTTATTAAGGCTGTTATGTTGTTTTGAGGTAATCTGTATGATTGTTGTGACCTCCTTCCTGGTTTCTTCCCAATTAAACCTTGTCAATCAAGTGTGTAACTTCTTTCCCATCTCTCTGCCAATGCACACACCAATGAAGTCATAGAGTCACAAAGATATACAGCAAAGAAACAGGCCCTTCGGTCTAAGACATCCATGCCAACCAGATATCCTAAATTAATCTAGGTCCATTTGCCAGCATTTGGCCCACATCCCTCTAAACCCTTCCTAATCGTATGCCCATCCAGATGCCTTTTAAATGTACGTAATTGTACCAGCCTCCACCACTTCCTCTGGCAGCTCATTCCATGCATGCACCATCCTCTGTGGGAAAATATTGCCCTTTAGGTCCCTTTTAAACCTTTCCCTCTCACCTTAAACCTATGCCCTCTAGTTTTGGATTCCCCTACCCTGGGGAAAAGACTTTGACTATTTATGCTATCCGTGCCCTCATGACTTTATAAATTCTATGATATCACACCTCAGCCTCCGATGCTCCAGTGAATAACTTGCTTTCTGATTTCCCCAGATACCTCTCTGAGACAGTCAAATGAAGATGATACTTGACAAAAAATGATTAAGAGGTGACAGATGTGGTGGATGAGGTAATTGCAGTGGATGTTGTTTAAATGGACTTTCAGATAGCTCTTGCCTGTACCATATTAGAAGTTATGGGAGACAATTAAAGGTTGCTGATTAGGATAAAGAGTTAATTCAATGTATATCAATGATCTGGATATAAGGCAGGAGACAATTAAATCCAAATTTTAATATAGCAAAATGGTAAAAATAATAAATAATTCTGAGAATCAAAAGAAGCTGCACCTGATTACTAATAAGATAGTGGAATGGAATAAAAGTGGCAGATCAAATTAAGTGTCATTATGAGATAGTTCAATTTTGTTTAATGGAAAAATAATAAGGGGTAACAACTATAAAACTTAAATTAAATCGTAAGCTTGTATAAAGACAGTATTAGCTTCCACAATATATGACATTCAACTTTACTTCCTTCATTAATCTAGAAGCTGTCACTAACTTAAGTAAGCTGTATGCATGACATTGACTTGAATGAAATAAAAGTCCCTCCCAATAGATTTAGTCATGAAATAAAAGAACAGAATAAAGGGACAGTGATAACTTGGATAAGTAACTGGCTAGAGTATAGGAAGCAGGATGTAACAGTTGCTTTTCCAGCTGGAGATGACTATATCATGGGGATGTCCAGATCTGTATTAGGGCCATTATTTGTCTTGTACATAAATGACTTAGACTTGAAATTAGAGAGTACAATTGCAAAGTTTCCAGATTATGTAAACTTTGCAAATGCAGCAAATAATAAGTAGGATAATGACAGACTTTGGAAGGATGTAGGCAAGCTGATGCAATGGACAGATATAATTTCATGTGGATAAATGTGAAACAATGCACTTTGGGGGAAATAACGTAGAGAGGTAGGATAACCCAAATGACTTCATTTTGATAGTGGGAAAGTCAGAGACCTGGAAGTGCACAGTCAAACATTTTTGAAGATGATAGCTGATAAAATGGTTAGGAAAGCATTTGGGATATTTGTGTTTATAACTAGGAGAATAGAATACAAAATCAAGGATGTTTTGCTAAATCTCTGCTAACCACCAACTAACCCATTGTGATATTTCTGGGTAACATGGTTAAAGAAGGATATTGTAACCTTCTGAAACATTTAATTGCCTCCTGTAGTGGGAAGTCTAGTAGGGTTGTGAAATCAGAAATGTTTTCCTTCAAGCAGAAAATGTTAAGCAGAGATTTAACAGAGATATTCAAAATTATAAGGGGTTTTGATAGAGCATTTAGAGAGAAATTATTTCCTCTGCCAAATGGTTGGTAACCAAAGGTCATAAATTTTAAGAAGAATTAAGAAAAATTGTTGAAACTCTTTTCACGCAAAGGATTGTTCAGTTCTGGAGCACATGATCTGAAAGGGTGGTGAAAACAAATTCCTTAGGAAATTGTTTGTTTGGTTTGGATATGACGTACACCTATTTTCCCTTTTCCCACAGTTTAGCAGGTTAATTATCAACTTGTTAATATAGAAACTTTTAAAAGGACATGTACTGGAAAAGAACTAATTTACAAGCACACATTAAAAAGGTAGGGTATGGAATTAAATGAGACAACTCTTTCAAAAGCTGGCACAGACATGATTGGCTGAATTACCTGATTCTAATATGATGTAATTCAAATCAAAACAAAGAAGTTCAGAATCTCAGTGAAATGCTTCATCCTACCTGAATGTCTTCTCCCTTATTCATTCTGTAAACCAGAGTATTCTCTGTAACCTCTGAAAAATTGCTTTGCTTCAAGCATCCTCACCATCATTGCTATACAGTAACTTTTCCATTATCTTTATCACAGTAATGTGCATTTATATAGCACCTTTATTACAAAATATCTGAAGGTGCTTCACAGGAGTTCTATCAAACAAAATTTGACACTGAGTCTCATAAAGCAATGTCAGGACAGGTGACTAATTACATAAGTCTTAAGAAAATTCTTAAATAGAGAGACATAACTGGTGAGACAGAGAGGTTTAAGGAACATATTCCAGAGTTTAGTCCATAAGCAGTTGAAGATATGGCTGCCAATAGTGAAACAAGTCAAATTAGGAATATCGAAGAGTCCAGAAACGGGGAAGAGCCAAGGACTAGAAACTTAAAATTGAGATTTTGTGAACTGTGTGTCAACATAAGCCAGCACAGGAAGAGGAATGAACAGAATTGCTGCAAATTAGGATGGCAGATATTAGGATGTGATCTAGTTTATGGACGTTGTTGGAAGGGAGATAGAAGTGAGAGCTTTGGAACAGTGAAGTCTAAAGGCAACAAAGGCAAAGATGACGGTTCTAGCAGCAGGTGAGCTGAGGCAGAGAAATAACAGATGATGGTATGGCAGTGGAAATGGACAACTTTTGTGATGGTCCACCCTGCTCCTATGCTGCACAAAGTGCTTGTTGCAAACACTTCAATTCATGCCATCACCCACACAAGATTGCACATATAAATCATTTCCCACTTCTACAAACGGTATTCTTTGAGATTAACTTGGGTTTCCATCCTCATATTCAGATCCCTGCCGTACACAAGCTTTGGCACTTTCCTGCATCTTTTTACACAAGAACAACCTATGGAGCACTTTTACAGGCACTTCACGGAAACATTGTGAAACAAAATCTAACACCAAGCCACAAGAGGAGGTATTAGGTCAGATGACCAAAAGCTTCATGGTCAAAGAGGCAGGTTTTATGGAATGTTTTGAAATGGGAAGGTGAACTTGTAAGACTGGTGGATAGGGAAAGAATACAAGAGCTTGGGCCAAGGCAACTGAAGGCACAGTCGCCCTTGGGGAAGTGATTAAAATTGGGGATGTTCAAGAGGCTAGAATGAGTCGAGTACAGATATCTCAGAGAATTGAGGGATTGGAGGAGGTTACAAAAGCTAGGGAGTGGAGGTGATGCCATGAAGAGACAACAGCATCTTTCATTTATACCATACATGAACTACAGGAAAGTATCTTGTGGTACTTCACTAAAGCTCACCAGATAAATCACTAAGGCTTCTTTGAGAACACAATTCAAACTCACAACCTCCACCATCCAGAAGGGCAATGACAGCAAATACATGGGAACACCATCACCTGAAAATTCCCCTCCAAGTCACACACCATCCTGACTTAGAACTATATCACTGTTTCTGACTGCTGCGGAGTCAAAATCTTGAAACTTCCTTGCTAATAGCACTGTAGATCTATCTACATCAAATGGACGGAAGCAGTTCAAGGAAGCAGCTCACCACCATCTGGGTCATAAAAACTGGCCTAGCTAATGATGCCCAGATCCCATGAACAAATAAAAGAAGAAGTTGGACTGAGCTAAAGAAGAAATTGGAACTAAAAGCTTTGTAAAAGACTTAAGTTTTAAAGATTGTTTAAAGGACACAATACATATTAGCAAAGGAAATAAATACTATATACATTTTTTTGTTTCTTTGAGCTAATTTAACTTTGTAATCCTTCTTATTGACTTAAGTTTTATGAATACTGGAATGCAAATAAAAATATTTTCCTTGAATCTGTTAAATACAGGGGATGGTGTACAATATTTATCTGTGATAAATGTAAGTGATGTGGGTCGAGGGTTTTCAGTAACAGAACCTTGCTCTGAAGCTTCACATGTTGTTTTCATATGGCTTCACAGTTGGCAGTGAAAGGTGCTTACAACTGCTGGCCCATGCAAAAAAAAGAGGCATCGGATTGTGTCGCGTCATGTAATTTTGACTGAGGTGGAGAGTGAATGATACTGAATATCTTTCATTATTGTGATAATCCTAAAAATAATGGCTATATTTAATAACTAGAAAAGAACTTAAAGAAATAAAGTCTAGGTAAATACCATTAATGCAATAAATACTTTTCAAACATTTAAGCTATGACTGTATTCTTACATTTAACCAGATAACTTACAGTGTAAGTGTTTACTGTAAGTCTACCCCAAGTGTGTTCAAGAAAACTATATCATTTAAAACTTTCCAAAGATTCAATTGCAAAACTTTAACAGTTACACACATCTGTTTTCTTGGTAGATCTCAACAACCCACCTTTTTAAATTTGAGATGATCCCGAATTTGCAAAAGGCGCTGTGCACTCATTTAATCTAATGTTCCTTTGAGATATGTAATGCACTCACATATGTGACAGCTGAAAATCTATGCAGTGAATTTCCGGTTTTCAGCTTTGTAGCGGCCTTGAGATTGTCATTCAAATCTAAAGTGTTTGCTTTTTTCGTAATGACAGCTCTGTCAATATCCATGCCCTGATCCAATCCTACATAACCTGTGTTTTCAGTGAAAAGATAAATCTAGTTAATAATTATTGTTAACATAGTGGAGAGTAGAAAGATCAGTAGGTTTTGAGGGGAGGATTACTAGATAAAGGGGGAGTATGCGAGAGTTGTTCAGTTAACTCTTCATACCAAGAAGAAGAACACTGGAGACAAGCATTGAACAGAGGGCAAATAGAGAAATGTCAATGTTATTTAGTATTAAGCCCTCTGGTTAAGGAAAGGCTGATATTTTAAGACTTTTGTGGACAGCTTTATTCAATTAAATGAAATGAAATGTGGATTATACAAAAGCCAGCCACCACTCAGCAGAACTTTTACTTCTAGCCTAAAAAATATGTAGCACAAACACAAAACAAGTTGCACAAATGTGGACAAATGTTGAAATTACAATACTATCTGGTAGGTAATTGAAAGATCAGCTTTCTAAAATTTGGATTCATGATGACTCTGAGAAATTACTGATATCATTTGCAATAAAGCGTATTTAGTCGGCATCATATGCTCACACTTGCAGTAATCTACACTCAATAGAGATCATTTAGTCATTGCTTTCGTCATTTGTCCTCAGAAGTTAATCATTTACCAAAATGTGACATACCAAGTGATGAAATAGCAATCAATTGACAGAATTAGTTATCAATTGATGTCAAATGAAATCACAGAAACAAGATAAATTATAATCATTTAAGGGTCTAGGCCCGAAACGTCGACTTTCCTGCTCCTCTGAAGCTGCCTGACCTGTTGTCTTCCTCCAGCTCCACACTGTATCAACTCTGACTCCAGCTTCTGCAGTTCTTGCTATCTCTAAGGAGTTCATAGAATGTTTTTGTGATTGTTTCTTAGTACAGCATATTCTGGAACCAACCAGCTAGCTGGCTATACTAGACATGTTGCAATGAAACAGGATTAATTAATGATCTCATTGTGATTACATTTTATATTCAGTTTTAGAGAGAACAGAGTGGGTCCTAGGTTAGGGTTTGTAACTTATGCTCATGGATGCAGAAAATCCAATGTGGAAATGATTAACAATGATGACTTCTCATGTTAAATTAGAAGCTGTAAATGAAGAAGAGACTGGGCCCGGGCCTAGCCAGCATTTGTGGTGTTCTCCCAGTTTTCCTGATCACTGTAATGGAAATGAACTTGCCAGGTAAGATAAATAGACCAGCTGGTCATATACTGCTTACGGATATCATAATATTGCCACTAAGTCATGGCAGTGGTTACATCTCATTGTCGTCCAAATTCCATTACTCACAGGCCAAGGGGTGCTCAATGAGGCAGTGAAATACTGAGCACATTGTTGTGTCACTGTTTCCAGTGTAAGTGTTAAGACTGTAGGGCTCAGGCTATGGAATCACAGCCATCTTGTTTAGCTGAATTAACAGATGCCTCCTCACACGTCCTGTGCTGTATGGCCAACTGCGCTCTGACAGACATCCAGAATACATGAAGCAGCTTGCAGTAAACCTGCCTTGGCACTTTCTAAAATTCACCATTTTGTTTCTCATGGTGCAACGAAAGCAGATCTTCATTTCTGTTTGTCATAAAATCCTCTTGGCTTCCTTTGGACACATTTCTGTTGTATAAGTTAATGATTCTGAAGGAGTTAATGTTCTTGTTGTATTGAGCTCAACTTCTTCTGATGATATCACACACATCCTGTGGATGGAGACAGAAAACTTTACATTAGCGTCAGATGGGGGCAGATATAATTGGTACAGCTCCCGAGAGTCCCAGTAATTATGCCTAACTTATAATGTTGTTGTATTTATTGTTTTCAGACAAACATCTTTTTAACTAGGAACAGTCCCTTTTCTGTGAAGACTTTATAGCTCTACGATGGTGTATCCTGTACCACTAATCATCAGACAGGTCTGGAAAAAGCATGGACAAAGGGCTATTAGTGGCAATGTATGCCACATACTGACAGATTCTGTGAGATGCCAGTAGTAGCAATCAGGCAATGCCAGACTATCCACTTCTATTGAACCAGGCAGATTAAATCAATATACACCTTAGATATAACCTAGTACAGGGATGAGAAATTTCCCCCAGACTCTGAAATTTGTATCATGCGATTTTACCATTTTACATTGTTCCCTCCTTCTGCCTGGCCTGGGAAAAATGGTGGATCAGCCCTTTCTTCTGTAATCATTCACCATTCTGAGCTGGGAGATGGTAGATGGGAGCTGGAGAGGACTCTCTCTCAGTATCTGCTGCTCTCACCCACAGCCTCTAAAGGTGCTGCGGTGGTCTTCTTTCCTGATGCTGTCAGCTGATTGGGTAAAAGGGGGTGAAGGCTGAGAATAGGATTATGGGGAGGGGGAAAGAAGTCCAGAGTGGAGCAGTGATGGGGGAAGCGGAGAACAGAGCTGTATGCAGGGCTATATTAGATATGTTAATAGCCAGTTTAAAATTATATACCCAACCAACTCTCCTAGCCATGGCTGCATTTTGTTTTGATCATTGAGCACTTGTCTGGATCTTCATTCAAGTTGGTATTCAGATAGCTTGAAATCAAGGCTACACTTTGACTGGATTGCACTGTAAAACCCAGCTCTTAATCCCATGATCTTCAGTCTTGATGCTTGTATTTTAAGCTAATTTTGACAATTGAAAGCCCACCCCTAACAACGGATGTTACCTGCTGAGATTTTAATGCCTCTCCTTCTGTTTTTCAGCTTTAGCAACTGTGTGGTTACTAACTGGAACTTTCCCAAATTGTGGCCTATATCTGCACCGCCTTTCACTTTTACGGTGATTCCCAGTTTTGCTACTGTTCTTCAGTGCCATGATCAATCTTACATACTTTCAGAGTCTTCATTCCCATTGACATTCTTCCACCAGTGTGTCCTGTCTTGATAATCTACCTTTAAATAGATTCTTGCTTCTGTTCTCAACATCTTATCTCAGAATCTGGACAGCATTTTGTTGATGTTCCAACCTGCCTACATCATAGTCCTGAACTCAGAACTCTGTCCAGTTGCCTCCCCTCTACTCCTTGTTTATTCCCAAACCATAGCTCTCCTAATCTTGCTGTGTAACCACCATGTGACTTCAGTTTCCCAGAGCTTTGCATGCATATCTCAACCGTTATTCCAGACTGGAACCCATCACTTCTATCAATCCCACTTTTGCCTTTAGGTTCATCTCACCCGGACCCCTCTCACCCGTCATCATGCCACCTTGCATTTCTCCTCTTGAATCCCTACCCCAATTCTTCAGCTTTCCTCAGTCTTCTTTATTGTTGTTTTCAGACCCATCCATACATTGGTGCCTGTCTATTCTGAAATCTCCTCTAATAGCCATATAAATGCTATTATTTCAAAAGCAGATCAAAGTCTAGGAATTATGTAGTGAGTAACTCACCTCCTGTCTCTCCAAAGCCTGTCCACCATCTACAAGGCATAAATTGGGAATATACTCTTTATTGCCTGAATGAGTGCAACCCCAACAACACTGCAGTAACTCACCAAGGCTCCTCCAACAGCACCTTACAAACCTGTGACTTCTACCATTTAGAAGGTCAAGGGCAGCAGACATTAAGGAACATAGGAACACAGCAGATAGGAGCAGGAGTAGGCCATCTGACCCCTCAAGCTTGCTCTACCATTCATTCTGTTAATGATGGCTAATCATCAAGCTCAACACTCTAACCCTGCCCTCTCCTCTTATCCCTTGATCCCTTTAGCCACAAGAGCTATATCTACATCCTACTTGAAAACATCATTATATTTTGGCCTTAATCATTTCCTGTGGTAGTAAATTCCACAAGCTCACAACTCTCTGGGTGAAAATATTTCTCCACCTCTCAGTCCTTAAAAGGTTTACCCCTTGTCCTGCATCACTGACCCTTGGTTCTGGATGCCCCCACCATCGGGAACACCCTTCCTGCATCTAACATGTCTAGTCCTGTTAGAATTTTATTGGCTTTTACGAGATACCCTTTCATTCTTTTAAACTCCAATGAATTCAATCCTAACTGGCTCAAATTCTCCATATACGTTAGTCCTGCCATCCCAGGAATCAATTTGGTAAACCTTCACTGCACTCCCTCCATAGCAAGATCATCCTTCCTCAGAGAAAGCAAATCAAAACTGCACACAATATTCCAGGTGTGGTCCCACCAATACCTTGTATAATTGCAGCAAGACATCCTTGTTTCTGTACTCTAACTTAGTCACTATGGAGGCCAACATATAGTTTATCTTCTTTACTGCCTGCTCACTGGTTTATATACAAGAACACTCATTGAACATTCCCCTCTCCCAATTTAAAGCTATTCAAATAATAATATGCCTTCTTATTTTTGTTGCCAAAGTGGATAACCTCACATTTATTCACATTATACAGCATTTGTCGTGCACTTGCCCATTCACTCAGCCTGTCCAAATCACACTGCAATACCTCTGTATCCTCCTCACAGCTCATCCTTCCATCCAGCTTTGTGTCATCTGCATAATTTGAGATATTACATTTAGTTCCCTCATCTAAATCATTAACATGTATTGTAAGTAGTCAGGTTCTGGTACCAATTTCTCAGGTACCCCACTAGTCACTGCCTGCCATTCAGAAAAAGATCCATTTGTTTCCTGTCTGCTGACCAATTTTCTATGCATCTCGATACATTATCCCCTATCCCATGTGGTTTAATGTTACACATTAATCTTTTATGGGGGACTTTGTCGAAAGCCTACTGAAAGCCCAAATAAACCACATCCACTAGCTCCCCTTGATCAACTCTACTAGTTACTTCCTTGAAAAATTCTGATAGATTTGACAAGCATGATTTCCCTTTTGTAAATCCATGCTGACTGTGTCTCATTCTACTGCTGTTTTCCAAGTGTTCTGCTATAAAATCCTTGATAACGGACTCTAATATCTTCCGTACTACTGACATCAGATACATTGGTATATAATTCTTTATTTTCTCTCTTCTTCGCTTTTTAAATAATGGGGTTGCATTAGTTACCCTCCAATCTTTACGAGCTGTTCCAGAGATGAAAGAATCTTAGAAGATGACCACCAAGGCAGCCAGTTTTTCCAGGGCCACTTCCTTAAGTATTCTGGAATGTTGATTATCAGGCCCTGGGAATTTATCAGCCTTCAATTCCATCAATTCCTCCAACACCATTTCTCTACTAATACAGATTTGGTAAACCATGTGTTCCCTAACACCTGAAAGATCCCCCCACGTTACACACCAGCCTTATGTAGAACTATATCACTGTTCACTGTCACTGGGTCAAAATCCTGGGATCCCCTTCCTGACAACACACTGGGTGCCTCGACACACCAAAAACTGCAACTCTAGAAGGCAGCTCACCATCCCCTTCACCAATGAAGGACAATGAATGTTGGCTTAACCAGCAACATCAACATTCCTTGAATGAATGAAAAGGTCCTACTAGATCTGCTCTCCAAATGGGTACATCTGATTTTCTTTCTTTACCATTGGTGGTCCTGTGTCTCACTGCCTCTTCCCTCAGCTCTGGAATTTTATTGCTAAATGTCCTTGCTTTTGTTTCCTTAAGACACTCCTCAGAGCCATTTTTTTTATTAAGCTTTTAGTCATCTGTCCTATTACCAGCTCAAGTGACTTTGTGTCAAATTGTGTTTGTTAACACTCCTTAGAAGCATCTTGGGATGTTTTATTATGTATTAGGTGCTATATAAATGCAAGTTGTAGGTGATTTTTTTTAGGTGGGGGGGGCAGGGTTCCTATATGGGCAACAATAATGGTTAGTGTATGTGACCCTCATTGTGCATAATGTTCTGATCAGCAACTGGTAAACCATAACTGGATATTACTTACCAATGAGAGTA